TAGGAGATTTTATCAGCCGCTAAGGAAGCAGAGTTTTATGCATTAATGTTGATACTTAAGTGAATGTTTATATGCTAATTTGTGCTAAAATTGTATCTTACCCTCATTGCCATCAGGTTCGGCCTGCTCCTCTCTCTGCTTCTGTTTGAACTTCATGCTCCCATGATGCATCACAGCACCTGTCAGCTTGTAGATGCTGATTTTCTCATCAGCAGTGAAGCCCAGAATGTCAATGGCAGTCTGTTTTTACATAGACCAAATAAATCATATTGTTTATTGGAGTCAAAAAAGAAGGGTCTTTTATACTGTGTCATGCAGTATTCAGTTCAAGCTGGTGTTTTTCTCATGTTTGTTTTCTCAGAAATGTTGCATCAAATCTAAAAATACTACTACTACTACTAATATTGCAGTTGTCCACATACATCTGTGGCAATGAACTCCTCCACATCATCGATACTCTTGACAGTGATTTCACCCTGGCTGATCATTGGGTAGTCGTAAGGGTTGGTGGTAATGAGCAGGGCCTCTGTAAAGAATTGATGTGCAGTATGTTGACAGTGCCCTCAAACATAGAAATAACTGAAAAACACAATCCTGTAGATTTCTCACCGAGCAGCTCTGGCTTGTGTCCAGTCATGAGCTGGTAGAAGATGTGGTAACTCCTCTCAGCAGACAGCTGGAATGTTACCCTTGACTTTTCTAGCAGATCTTTCCAAGAAAAAAAAGAGGAAAAAAGACATTGTGTTCAATTAACCCACATCTTAGACTCCAAATAAAACGTTTGGCTTAAAACAGTGTTGACTCACAAGTTTCAATATCTGCTTTGGCCAGTTTACCAGTGGTCCCAAAGTGGATCCTGATGAATTTACCCTAGATTGAAATCATTGATAAAAGCTCAACTGTTTGCCTGCTTTGAAATTGTGATTGAAAATGTATGATGTTATTAAAGATGATTTATAGGTGCAACTTACAAAACGAGAGGAGTTATCGTTCCTTATAGTCTTGGCATTACCATAAGCCTCAAGCAGA